GGCCTCATCGGCATCGCGGGGCCATGGTTCGTGCCGAAAGGACCCAACCGCGGGTAAGGGACGCGCGCTCTCCGCAGCCCCCACCCCGCCGCAGCAAGCACCCCGACTCCCACCCTCCTCGCTCACCACAGTCCCCTCCTCCCTGGAGGGCCGCTGGGGCCCTGCGAGGGGGACTGGCAGGCGGGCAGGACGCAGGGGCACAGGCATGATGCCCTGGAAAGGCGAGCAGGGGTCCCCCTCCTCTTGCCACTGAAGGCGATGGCACCCTCGCTGGTTGTGACCTTGCTGCAAGGTCGAGCCTCAGTTTCTTTGCGGTCTAATGGGGTGGTGGGCGTTCTGAGTCTGCGGGGAGCATCACGAAGTCACGCACAGCGCGCTGTCCACGAGCGTGGCGGGTGCTCGGCGTGAACCCTCTTGGAAGCACTGTGGTTTTCAAGGGCCCTGTGCAGTTGGCTGCCCCTGTTGTATGGGTAGCACCCCAGCTTCCTGTGACCCTGTGGAGCAGAGCCATCCCCCTTGAAGGCCTGTCCCCCCGCTGGGAGAGGGCCTTCCCCAAGTAGACCCCTGCGCTGGTAAGGTCTGGCCGGGCGGTTAGAGACTGGGAGAGAACCTGGCGTCAGTTCGAGGGGGGTTACTGTCCACCTGCCGGCCACCCCCACAGGAACTCAGCCTCCTCTGTCCAGGAAGGCAGATGCGGGGAAGGCCAGTGGCCAGGAGCTCTGCTGGGGGCCTAGGCCTTCTGGAGACCTGCAGTGTGTCCATCCTGACAGGCTGCCCTCTTTTCTTGCAGAGTGATCGTCACCATGCTGGTGGCCACCGCCGTCTGCTGCTACCTCTTGTAAGTCCTGCTGCCCCCAGCCCAGAGCAGTGGGTGCCCCTGGGTGCCCGGCTCCTCCCCCGCCGCTCCACCTGGCCTGCCTCTTGGGAGGCCGGGTCTGGGGGGCACAGGAGGGCAGGTGTGGCGCCCAGGGGTGGAGAGCCGGCTGGGGGTCTGGGCGTCCACTGTCACCTTGGCAGTCCCGGTCCCTTTACGAAAAACAAAAACACTTTACAGACAATGGCGCGGAGATGTGAGCGTAAGAGCTGGGGCCGAGGCTGTGTGGCTGGGCTGAGCGTCTGGAGAGTCGCTTCTCGGTGCCGCCTCTGGTGTCCGGGGCCGGTGGAGTGGCCTTCTCTGTCCTGGGGGGCCCACAGAGGGCCTGGGGCGTGATGGCTCAGGCCATGGCAGTGGAAGCTGGTGACTCCAGCGCGGGAGAAGGGGAGAAGCCGCGGGATGGGGGGCAACGAATTCCAAACGGCGAGTCCACCCACGACGTGGGAGCCAGGCTGCCAGTGGGCGGAAGGTGGCCACCTAAGACATGGCCAGCTGGAAGTTGCGTTGCGGGAGCACACTCGGGCGGCGCTGAGAGGCGGGCGGGCTGTGTGCTGGCTGTCCGGCGCCTGGTGCTGGCCAGGCTGCGGCTGGGCGGGGCTCAGAGGCAGAGTGCCGCGTCCTTCATGCGAAGTCCTGCTGGCCCCTCGTAGGAGGGGTGAGGAGCCCGGCACCTCCGGGGTCCTCGGGCCCGACGCCCGGGATGCACCGGGGCACCATGTCTGCCCCAGCCGTGTCCACAGGCCAGCCTGCGGGCGTCCCAGCTAGTCGCTGCCTGTCCCCGGCACGCCTGGGAGAGGGAGGGGCTGTCAGCGGTCAGCTCAGAGTTCCGGATAGTTCCTGAAAGGGGCAGCGTCTTCCATCAGACCAGCCCCGCCCTGCTCCCAGCTGCCCGCTGGGGCACCCAGACCAGCGCTGTCTTGGGGTACAGCTGGTGACCTCCCCTGGAGCCTGTTGGCTCTCCCACACCCCAGCCCCGCCCGGCCCTGGGCGGACACCTCTATGCTCCAGACAGAGCCGAGTGCGGGGGGGCAGGGATGGCGTGGGGACCCGCCCCCAGGTGGCCCATCCTGCTCATCTCCCCTGCTGTCCCTGGCAGCTGGCTCATCGCCATCCTGGCTCAGCTGAACCCCCTGTTTGGGCCACAGCTGAAGAATGAGACCATCTGGTATGTGCGGTTCCTGTGGGAGTGACGGCTGCCGGCCCCAGGTACGGGGGTGGGGCGGCTTGCTGGGGCGCCCCCCTGTTGGGGCCTGGCCCTGGGCGGGCGGTCTGCTGGGAACTGGCCCTGGCGCGGGCGGCCTGGGTGCGGGGCGGGGAGAGCTCGTGTGGAGGCCAGCATCTGTTTACTTAGGGAAAACCCTGCCACGCGCACTAGGCCCCTCCTGCGTGCCAGGGAGAAGGGGAGACAAGGCCTTTGGGG